CATCTGAAAGGGACACAGCTGCAACATGAATGCAACTTTAGTTTTGAAAGCTAACGTGTTAAATTGTACTTGGTAATCTCACAATTATAAAAAGGGCTACTTCCGGTCTGTGGATCAGTGATGGCAGTTGTTCTCCCAGGACCTCGGGGGAGCAACTCGCACACCAGCTGTATGGAGGGGTGCTACGTCAAGTAGCACCCACACGGAGCCTTTGTGATAGGCTTCAGACCATAGGGCTTTTGATGGGCAGCCTCTTCGACAGCTAAATGCCGGAGAATTGAGGCTCCCCTCCGCCCTCACGGTCCTGCTGCTGTGTGGCCCTTGGGCACAAGCTGATTCGACTGGGACAAGCGCTGGAGATCGAGTGGAATATCGATTACTGTGAGCGAGGTCAGAGAAATGACCGACAATGAATGTGAGTTCAAAATAAATTGAATATTTTAAAAGTGAACACACACAGCCTCAGTGGGACAAGCCGAGCAGAAAGAGGGACACCTCTTATGGGAACAGACAGACAAGCGTAACGAAGGGGGCGGGGGAAAAATAAGCAGCGATTTTGTTTTGAGAGACTTACTTGAGCGCTGACATCGAGGTGACGATTTTTCGAGTCCGCGAGCAATGGTTTGAAATGGTAAACAATCGTGTAAAATGGCGGCCTCGCAAAGAAAGTTTAAAGCTAAACCAACGGGTAATCAGAGCCCAAAAACGGACAAGGGAGCAGATGAAAATGTTAGCGGGTATGCTCAAGCGCGTGATGGAGCAACTTGATGGTATTAACCAGCAACTGACTTCGCTGAATCAAAACTTCGCATCCCAGCAGCTCCAACTGGCAGAAACGGCAAAGAAGGTGGAGCATACGACTGAGAGAATTAAAGACACCACAAACAAGAAAATGAAGAAAAGAATGGGGGAGGTTGAAGCAAAACAAAACTTCCAAGAAAACCATTTGTTACAGCTACAAATGGAAAAAGCCAACATGATTCTCAGATTACAGGGAGTTCCTGAATTGGCGAAGGAGGATCTGAGGAAGCTGATCAGCGAGATCATTGCTCCAGCAATAGGCTCAACAGTGAATGAAGTAGTAAAAGAGATGGAGACTGCTTATAGGGCATACTACAATTATATATAAAAAAAATAGCCTGCCTGGAGAAATTGTGGTCAGATTCTCAAGAAGACAGACCAGAGATGCTATTTTAAAAGCGACTTCAGCAACTCCACTGAAAATGGGGAATATAAACATTAAAACTCTAAAATACATTCCATTTGAAATTCGTCAAAAGAGGAAAAGCTACAAGGACTTAATTTCCTTTCTTCAAACCAATGGAATTTCATATAGGTGGGCGATCCCAGAGGGTGTCATCTTTAAAATCAACAACAAAAGAGAAAAGATTGACTCCATTTTTAAAGTCAAATAATTTTTGAGACGTCAGTTGGGATTGGAGGAAGAATCCAAAGATGAAGAATCGAAATCAAGTGACTCTGTTACCTATGGAACAGATGAGGACTCTGCTGTAGAAACGGGAGCAGGCACAATGAAAGTTACATATGATTTCAGAGATAGAAAACCGAAGTAAAGGCATAAGGACTCTGAAAATTGCCTTTTGAAGCAAATAATAATAAGATGCTCAGAAAGTTCTCTCACAACAACTAACATACTAACATTGAAGCCGAGACAAACAAGAACTCTACAAGTATATTGCTGTACTAATACTTTTATTAATAACACTTAGATTAACACGGATATGATTTCCTCCTCTTGGGTTTTTAGTGTAGTGTGGTCATTTATCCTTTATCCTTAGATGTAATCCCCTTTCCTTATATTTCGTTGTAGTTTGTAGTCTTATAAAACATATCCCTCTGGGGATTTTAAAAAAAAAATTATAAAAAGGGCTTAATTTTTGTTAAAAAATGTTTTCTTATTTCAAGTGGACACATTTGGCAGTTTTTGAAACAGAGTGTTACATATGGGCTCTGTCTGAGGAGACCTCGCATTGATCAGGTGGACCTGTTGGTAAATTTAAATTCTCACTGCTGGAGTTAGCTCATCAGATGAAGCTTGCTTACTGGATTAATGTGTTTATCTTCCTCTTGTCCATTTTAACAGCCTGTTTGTTTTCGTTCTTAATTGGCAGTAGACTCACTAATGTTAATAAACAGTTCAATGGGAAGGCATTTGGCGTAGCAGGAGTAGGTGGCACATGGGCTTGATTCAGACCCTGACAAATTTTCTTTAGCCGTAGGAGCCAGCTTAATTTCCCAGTCTTCTGGCTTTCATACTTTAATGGTATTTTCTAATTATTGCCACCATAAAACCCAATCCTAACATTTTTACATTTTCTTATAATGTTATTAAAACTGACAGAAGTGTTGTCATAAATACGTAAGAGTGACCCTGATTGTCACCCCCACAACAAAAACTACAAAAAACACTAAGTTCTAACCCTAGCCTAACTTTCCCCCAATTTCTCATAATTTAATTGTTGCCTGTAAAAACCCCATTTAATTTAATATTGCAGCCAGTATAGAAAGCAGTTGATTAAGTGAGTTCATCCACCGCCACTGAATGGTGTAAAGTTTACACATAAACAAGCAGTCTCAGGAACTTCATGTGCATTTACATTTGTCAAAATATTCTGTTGCAAAATTATAAGTAATGTTTGGGTTGGATTCAGACAGCCACTCAATCCCAGCCAGTTCCCCAATTTACATTCCCTGTTCAAATGGCTTTTGCCCATGCAGGTCCCATGATACCAATCAAGTCCTTTGGTGGTCAAAGGAGATCCCTCTCTCCCTTTTTCATCAGCATAAAAACTGGTTAGATCCAACCCTTTGTAATATCACTGAGAATTGTTGTGAAATGCTGCAATAAAATTCTTACTAAAAGCTCTAGGCACTACAATTAAATCTGTAGGTACTGAGATGACTTGGCATCTGGGATTAATCAAACCCTGCATTAGTTCAACAAAGTATGTCCAACAAAGATGCAGGAAATCTGCATTAGCCAAATTACATTTCTAACGTAGCCATGTACCACGAGGGAAATATTTCACTCAGTTTCTGTAGATGGGTTGCTTTTGTTTCTTAAATCACTTGTACAAGCCTTTTAAAGGCAATTTTGTAAGGGACAGCTTAAAATAGGGTTGCCAAGTCCTTACCGTCTGTATAGCGGGGGAGTCCAGCGCTGCTCTGGGAGGCCATGCGCGTAATTATGTCACCCGGCAGTGACGCAACCACGTCGGGCACGCCGGGGGCGGGGCCACAATCATCCGAGGGAAAACCATAGCGTTTTCCCTCGGATGACCGCGGGCCCGCCCCCGACGCGACTGCGTCACTTCTGGGTGATGTGCTGATGCTGGGCACGTCGCGTGCTTTGGGGGTGGGATTCCCCCCAGGGCCCGATCCACCGGTGGCGGGTAATGGGCCTCTCGGGCGGGGGTTTCCCCACTCCCCGGGCAACTTGGCAAGCGTAGCTTAAAAACAAGAGAAAAACCAATAAAATAGGTTGACACAATCTGTAAACAGATCAGCAGACCATGAAAATCTTAAGCACTTTAAAAAGTAGAAGCTACTTAACTAAAAAGATAGGGGCAAGTAAATTCTTTTGGCTTGGTTCCTAAAACAAGAAGAAGGTGCCAAATCTCTCCATGTATATTGTAACTGGGGTGTCACCACAGAAAATACCCTCTTTGGTGTTCACCTGCATAATTGCTGGAGGCCCCTGGGTAAAGGGGCCTCTGGTCAAGTTCAACAAATAATGCAATTTTGAAACATTCTGAGTTTCATCGAAGTTTTAAGCCTCTACCTCACTAAACTGTATTCTTTGCTGAAAGTTGGTATTCAAAGAGTACTGTATTTTTATGTAGTGGTAAGAGGGTAGTACAAAATTTGCCATTAATGTGTTCATTAATGATTTGGAGTTGGGAGTAAGCAGTGAAGTGGCTAAATTTGCGGATGATACGAACTTGTTCAGGTGGTGAAAACCAGGGAGGATAGTGAGGCACTCCAACGGGATCTGTCAAGGATGGGCAAGTGGGCGTCAACATGGCAAATGGGGTTCAATGTGGCCAAGTGCAAGGTGATGCACATTGGAGCCAAAAATCCTAAATATAAGTACACATTGATGGGGTCTGAACTGGCAGAGACTGAACAAGAGAGAGATCTTGGAGTCGTAGTAGACAACTGAATGAAAATGTCAAGACAGTGTGTGACTGTAATAAAAAAGGCCAATGCTATGCTGGGGATTATTACGAAGGGTATTGAAAACAGATCAGCCAATATCATAATGCCCCTATATAAATCAATGGTGCAACCTCATTTGGAATACTGTGATCGAGGTTTATAAGATTATGCATGGGATAGAGCAGGTAGAGAAAGAGGTACTTTTCTCCCTTTCTCACAATACAAGAACTCGTGGGCACTCAATGAAATTGCTGAGCCGTCGGGTTAGAACGGATAAAAGGAAGTACTTCTTCACCCAAAGAGGGATTAACACATGGAATTCACAGCCACAGGAAGTGGTGGCGGCTACAAGCATGGACGGCTTCAAAAGGGAATTAGATAAGCATATGGAGCAGAGGTCCATCAGTGGCTATTAGCCACAAGTATAGATAGGAACTCTCAGGTTGGGGCAAGTGATGCTCTTCTTGATGCTTGGGGGGGGGTCAACAGTGGGAGGGCTTCTAATGTCCTGGCCCCACTGGTGGACCTCCTGATGGCACCTGGTATTTTTGGCCACTGTGTGACAGAGTGTTGGACTGGATGGGCCTTTGGCCTGATCCAACATTGGCGTTGCTTATGTTCTTATGAGAGGATCCTTATCACTGAACAGAAGAGCCAGGGTTTCCGGAGTATAGGGGAAGATTGGTTGAATAAAGGCTTAATATAGTAATCCCTCATAATCTCAAAAAAATCTGCATACTGCAGGATTTCTTTTAAGTGCCAGAACACTTCTCATGGCTATAATTACATGATCAATAATATTTCTTCCTTCAATTTTACAGTTTACTAGTATTGGAATCAACAGCTCCATCAGGAGACATGTCTCGCCCACATCACATAGCATCAGTGGTTCCAAACCGGTATCCACGTTGGTTCACCCTGAGTCACATTGAATCTCAGCAGTGTGAGTTGGCATCAACCATGCTAACAGCAGCCAAAGGTACAGTACTGGCACCTTAAGCAGGATGCCTATTTTTAGTTGACTGTACGTGTGTCAATGTGTGCTTGGAATGAAGGTTATTCCATACCTAGATTTTATGATAAGTGTAAATTAAGCTGTGTCAAAAGAGCATTTAAACCCAAACTTCCTTTCCATATGGATCTTTTAGATCAAGTGGAGAGCATATTGGATCCCTACGTGTAACAGGTTATTTTGGTTAATATAATGTGCATATGAATTGAGAGAGGGAATATGTGGCTGAAGTTCTTTCTGTGTTTTTGATATATATATTTTTTATGCTCAGCAAGTCTTCCAGTGAAGTTGCTTCCAATGCACACTTGCTCTTGATAACCTCGCAGATTGCCCATTGTAGTGTTGTTTCACTAGGGCTTATGCAGTGGTTTTTTGATTCTTTTTTTTTTTTAAACTGATCTTGCAGGTGACGTTCGAAGGCTTGAAACAGTGTTAGAATCTATCCAGAAAAATATTCACTCCTCATCACACATCTTCAAGCTTGCCCAAGATGCATTCAAAATAGCAACACTCATGGACAGCTTGCCGGATATCACCCTTTTGAAAGTGTCGCTGGAGCTGGGTCTTCAGGTACGTTTTGCCTTGATGCAGTTCCATCCTGCTTTGCAGGTTGATCCTTGGACCAATATTGAACATAACAGTGATCACAACTAGTTTAATGTTTCCTACACATCCAGGGTCAAAGGAGATCTTGTCATTTAACTGCTCTGCAAAATGCTAGGGGGGAAGGAGTGCCGTGTTGCTTTCACACAGCAAAGGTATTTTTAAAAGGCTTCCTACCGTTAGAAGGGTCAGTCAGAAGGTTTGGGTGTACCATGGACGTCTTGCTCTCTTGGCAGCAAAGAAGTGCATGGGGAAGCTGGCAAAATGTATATGAATTACATAGCTATTTTTGTACATTCACAGCCTAGTCTAGGTGTAGATAGCTGAAATAATCACATCCTCGAATACACACATTGTGCCTCTGCCAGGCGTGGTACATAAGAGTCACTGTATTAAATCTTAAACTGTGATCTTGCTTTGGGTGGTTCATAAATCGATAACAGAGAGACTTCTTGAAATAGTGACCCAACATCAAACCAGGCATAGAGAGCATAGAATTTTTCCACGTAATAAATTAAAGCTCAGTTCCATGTGTATCCTTATATAGCTGAATTGACCTTTGGGTTAAAGGAGTAGATGAAGGATCCTTATCTAGTGCACAGGTTTTGTCTGAGATGTATTCAGGGCAGATATGGCCATCTGTAGCTGTCGTACTATAAGTCAGGCTGCTGGCCCATCTGGCTTCATGTTCTGACTGACACTGGCTTTTCAGAGCCAGGCAGAGGAGAGAGGTCTTTTCCAACACCCTGCCACCTGAGGTCCTTTAACCAGAGATGCCACAGATTCAAATTGGGGTCCCTTGCCTACAAGCAAGCCTGCTCCCCACTGGGAGGAAAAGATATGGTGCTCCTTCTCACCCACATGACTGGCACAGCAAAAAGGACAAGGAAGCCAGAGTAGGAGTTTAATGAAACACAGTTTATGAATTGCTGCTGTGAGGTGTGTGTATAATCTGGGTGACCTTTTCTTGCATTAGCCAGGTCTGTAGCTTGAACTTAACAACTACCTTAAATTATATATGGGACAACATTAGAAATCAGCACAGTTTAACATTCTGTCACTTATCCATAAAATATTTACATAGGAACAAAGGATTGTCGACATTATAATGCATATGGATTGATGGGTAATTTTAAAATTTAAAATTATGACCTTTCTGTGCAAGGCTTTACTTTGGTTTTTAGTTTGGTAGGATGGCCCTGCTCCTCACCAAATGTAGTGATATCTGTTGAGGGAAATTATTGCAGCAGGTATGCGCTATACCACAATTGTGAACCTTGTTACAAGATAAAGAGTATTTTGTCCACCATGGGCCACAGTGCTGTTCAGGCTGTTGGGGAACATATCTGGCTGTTAATGAGAGGTTTGCATGTGTTTTCTAGTGGACCGAAGGAATTACTGGGGAACAAAGATGGAGTTAGATTTAAAGAGATCTGACAAGAGCTCTATCTTGGATCGTCCAGGTTAGCCTGGTCTCATAAGATCTCGGAAGCTAAGGAGGGTTGCCTGTGGTTAGTACTTGGATGGGAAACCACCAAGGAAGTCCAGGATTGCTACACAGAATCAGGCAATGGCAAGCCACCTAAGTTTGTTGCCTTGAAAACCTTAAAAGGGTCATCAGAAGTCAGCTGTGACAGCATTTTATACACATACAACCAGAGAACATTGGGTGTGAGAAGGTAATCAAGGGAATTTTCACAGCAGGAGGAAAGGTCTGAGTAGGAAGAGTCTATTGAATAATGCTTACTCTTGCTGTAAGGTTTTGGGGAATGACAGAGGCGTGGTTAAGACTTTGTGAACAAGCTTCTAAACTCCTCAGGATCATGCTTTCCCTCTCTCCTGACATATTGTGAGATGGTTATTTCCAGGTCCATAATAAACCTTGGTTGGCCGTTATATTCAGATCAGCATGTTTGTTTGCACTTGCCCTGCAAATCAGGATTCCTCAAAGGAACATAACTTTTTGGACTCTATAGGTTACTGGTTCAGATGTAACGTCAAATGCTGGTTTCCCATGAACTGAGGAATATTACCTGTAACTTTCCACATACAGAGAGAACATGAACTCAAAAGCTTGTTCACATAGTGGGAGGCCATGTTTGGCCATCAGGTCTGAAAGAAGCCTTAATGTATCCAGCCATTTTTATTAGAAACATTTGACCTCTACTTTTCTGTGATATCATGGCAATTAAAGTTTGAAGGAATTCAAAGTCCCAGCATTACCACATGAAAAAAAAGTAAAATTGGGTTGAGGGTTTCTCCTAGCTTGTCTCTGTTCACATGCTGGGTTGCCTCTCTCTTGGTAACACAAAAAATTGTCCCTGTCTGTAGCTAAGTAAAATGACTTCCTGTATGTGAAGATGCACCTGCACCAAAGGACAACTGTGAATAGGAATTTGCAAGTAAGCAAAGGCTTCCTTTCCTACAGTGTAGCTGATGGGGCCCTTGGAGCACTTGAAACTTAGTGTACAAATTGCCCCTTTTGGCTGCTCTTATTCTCCGTTTGTTTGCATTTTGACAGCAACACTGCTGCAGTTTTTCTCATATCACCACAAAATAAATCTTTTTAATAGGTGATGCGGATGACACTATCAACATTGAATTGGCGGCGGCGGGAGATGGTGAGATGGTTGGTAACATGTGCAACAGAAGTAGGTATGTACAGGTGTCCATCTCCAAAGAATCCTAATTGGACGTGTGCCGTAAAGCCAATTGATCGTATCTTGAACATGGCAGTGTTTTTATATGGTATTTGAGGGACAGATTTTTACCATGTTGCTGTTAACAGAAAAGATAAGAATTTCATGCATGTAAGCAATGATGTTACAAGAATTCAGTGCTGATTCACATCCTTGGAAATACTACCCTAGCTGTTCGTAATATGTGGAGAAACTCCACTCTAGCAGGAGAACCTGTGCTATATGCAGGGGTAGCCTGAATGTTATTAGGTCCAGAGGACCTGACCCGCCATCTTCCCAGATTTACAGCTGGAACTGCGAGGCAGCAAATTCACAAAATACTGCAGCTGAAAAATGTGGCCTTACACAAATTGCCACTGTGAACTCATTGGAGAGAATAAATTACCACTTCAGGCCTTAATTCCCTTGAGGAGGCTGTGTTGCTGGGGTTGCTGCACGTGGACAGATTCATGTGCTGTTGCTTCTGCTATTAATAGTCATTATAAGCTGCCATTCAGCATGGATTCATGATGTCAGTACTGCCTTTAAGCATCTATGTGAAACTCAAAGAGGGTAGTCCTCTAGTTGGGTGTCCAGGAACACTTGTGTCTTCTCTTACATGCCATGTCTACCTTTGAAAACAAAAATGTATCATTTACATAAATTATGAAAGTACTTGGTCTTCCCTTCCAAAGCAACATGAGCTATTATTGGCAATAGATGTTAACTTACAGCTGTTCTGTTGTTTTTAAATGCTTCCGGCTTGGTCACCATCATGTTCTGTAGAATGCCATTTGTTTCTGAGAAAATCCCTTCAGGCATGTGTCTTGTTTCAGTAGGGCCTATATTCTAATTCCAAGGACTCTAGCTGTTCTTATGTTTAATACGTACTCAATATTGTCTAAGCAGATCTTCTAGATTAGTTTACCACTCTCTGAAAACCGAAATTGAGATTGCTTTTTTCCCTGCCCCTAAGAATTAAAAACCACCACCTAGGCTTTACTGTTCCATGCCCTTGCACCAAGTAATGTGTGTCTGCATATTTGCATGGAGCCCTCTTCTTTTTTTTTAATAGCGTGTTTGTCTTGGCTGAAATAATTAAAACCTTGATTATGTTCTAGATATTAGAGGATCAAGTGCGTTATTTTGCTTGGTTGGCAAATGAATTGCTTTTTTTCTTTTTAATTCTGTAGGCATATTAGCATATATATGTAGCTTCCATAAGGAAACTGTAATGTCATGCAAAAACCACCTCTGAGACTTGAGCAAGTTTGTAAATTGGGAGCATGTTTGTTTATGTAAATGAAGACCAGGCACTGAATGGCTGGCCATAGGGTTAAGGGGAGGGGGACTGTGCATAGTACAGCCGAGTCCAACCGCAGCAAATAAGGGCCTCTGGGTGTGGTTAGACGAGTGCACAGATGTGTGCAAATTACTTCGAGCCATAATGAGGCACTCAAGCTGCCTATAAGCTTCAATTTATGGAGCCCATCAGTCGTTGTTCACCCTTGCAAGAGCAGCAAAAGGGTACTAAAGAAACCTGCACATATCAGATAGGAAAGCTGGTAGTAAGTATAGATTAGGATGTTTCCTTAAGGACAGAGTTCTGTTTTCCTGTTGGGGTTGTATCCACAGCAGCATGAACTCTGTGAGAGGATATGAGTTTCTTTTGGCGTAAATGTATTGACTGTTGGGATTTGCTTGGAGTCATCCAGCCCTAACCTGGCCCCTCCACTCAGATCTAAGAGTCAGTTTGCTCACATGAATGACACAATCTCGTGTAGTAACAATAAAATGCTGGTCTTCATTACAGATTTAAGTTCTTGAATTCATCTCCCCCCCCCCCCAAACTGTGAAATGGATAGTGGATGGGGGATGGATTGAAACAGTGACTTCCAAGGTCATCCGAAGGCTATGATCATTCAGTGAGCCCACAGTGGCAGGCTGGTTTTCCTTTTGTCCAACTATAGACAGGAAAAGAGCAGGCATCCTTGCAGAAGTGTTTGGCATGATCCTTTACTGCTGCAGGCATCTTTGCACCCCAAAGAGTGGCTTGTGGGTGTCGGGAAACCCTTGGGAAGACTGAGATGGATTGCATTGTGAGGTTCTGCAGTGAAAAGGGGGATTGAAAATCACTCCCCCCCATGTTATCCCAGTGCCCTTCTCCTTGCAGAAGGGGGACTTCAGGTTTAATGTGTATCTTTGAGAAAGGTGGACTACGAATGAAGCCGTAAGCAGTAAATCTATCATGGATACAGCACAATGGTGGTAAAGCAAAGGTTTAAAAAAAGGAAATTAACAAACCAACCTGGACAGGTTTAAAGAATAGGAAGAGTGGATAAACGTGTATCTTTGAGAAAGGTGGACTACAGATGAAGCCGTAAGCAGTAAATCTATCATGAATACAGCACAATGATGGTAAAGCAAAGGTTAAAAAAGCAAATTAACAAACCAACCTGGCCAGGTTTAAAGAATAGGAAGAGTGGATAAAATCACACAGGGCAGCAACAGCCACTTAGAAACTCCTCAGACATCTTTGCCTGCAAACACACCAGCCTGTCATCTGTTGGGTGGGAGTTCCATAACCAAGGAGCCCCTATAAAAAGGGCTATATATGACTAAGAACACAGAAGATAGTCCCTTGGGTATCTTATCCCACACTGTTAAGGCCTTTAAAAGGCAATACCCAACATATTGAATTATGCTTGAAAACTAACACAGAGCCAGCCAGTGAAGGTCTTTAAATGTAGTATCCTTTTTCGGCTAGCTGTCAGTTAATAACTTGGCTTACCAGTAGTCCAGTACTTCTATTCCAGTAGTCTCTTTGAAAGCAGCCCCCATGCATAACACATTATGGTACTCAATTGTACCACCTTTTCTCCATGATGCATTTGATTTACTGTAGTCTGGATTCTTATATGGTCTTAGAGGATGTAGATGGCATGCCGTGCCCTAAACTGGATGACAATGGTAACATGCATGGTCTCATGGAACAAGTGCTTATCTTCAAGAGCAGCAACCCCCCAGGTTTTTTCCCCTGATTCCTCCTCTTGTGAAAGAGGCAGTTGTGCTTGCTCCATTATGAATCCATGCATCCTATACAGTGTTGTTTCTGTACTGAAGGTCAAAG